AACCAGTGGTTGGAGACTGGGTGACATGTCTCAGAATCGATCACAATGGCGTAGGTGTATATACTACTTGTCCTTCCTTAAATCGTGAGATTAAAACTGCTTTATACTTTCCTATGAACTATTTCTTCCTGTATTATTTCCTTATACACAATCTTTCTTTTATGCATTTCTACGATTGAATTAACTACTATGAATCCAGTGTTCATCTTGTTGTGCTAATGGAATATGGCAACTTGGACCGATGCATATATATCCCTGATCCTACGTTGTGACTGACTGATATCAGGTCCTCGTTTATCGCTAAAGATGTAAATGACTTGAAATTAGTACAAATCATCGCACAAGTATGAGTTTTTAGACTATTTTCTATCAGGTCCTCCACACAGTATCGAGTGGTATGTCTCTCTTATGTAACCGTCGTGAGGTTGACGTACGTAGTAGTCTAGCTCATGTGATATCGACATGTATTTCACAGTTTTTCATCAAAATTTAGCATTTTTTATTCACATTGATAGTTTACATATGAGTTCGCATTAATGTTTTGGTTCTGCATTCCTTATTTACAGACTCCTTGAACTGGAGTGTAATTTTCATAATTTGGTGCAAGAGTCTCACTTGAATATCTGGCTAGATAATGACTCCATGAAAATGCACTTAGTAAATTCTGCTTTTCAAAATGAAAGTGAAAACAGACACATTCCTAATGACATTCGTGCAGCCATCTTCGTTTACTGGCGTTTGAAAAGGCGCTCAAACTTTAACCAACCGCTAATCAACCCAGTTCCATTAACTTGGAAAGAAAGTGCTGATCAAGTAGCTGCCACAACCAACGAAGAACTAGCTCGAGTAGAACGTGCTAATTCTGATATGAAAGCATTTGAGTCATTTAAACGTATTAGATTCGGTCTTGACAGGGCTAGATTAATGGCAGATATGGTCTTGCAAAGAGAACGACGAAAATTAGCTTTGTTTAAGAGAATGTGGCGTATATCTGAAATCCAATTGACTGCTCTTGAAAAACAAAATAGTCTAGTATCTAGTGAATTACTCCGGACTGCTCATATCGGTGAATCTATTTATGATAACTGGGAATTGTTTTTAGCTCATAGTAATCCTTCGCATCGGCGTGTTGATCAGGGTAAACATATGTCCTACATTAGTGAATCTAATAACGAGTCAAAGCCTTCATCTGTTTATACTGTTAATGAAAACAACTCCAGTTTTTTACAGACGTCTATACCTAATACAACTACAAAAGTAAACGAAAGCATAGATTCATTCAATATTAGTGCTATTCCTAAAGAATGTCTGATTGTTTCCGATACAATTAAACAAAGACTTCGTTCTGCATTAACACTAGTCGCTGAAAATTGTAATATGTGGAGTGCAGACAAGCATGTAGAAAGTCCCAATCATAAGCGTAAAACAAATAATCATTATATCAAACCATATAAGTCTCTTTCACTTAATCGATTTGAACGTTCACCCTCAAGATCTCATTGTTCTTCACCATTAACTTCATCAACTAAAATAAATAAGCCATTAGAAAATGATATGCCTATTGTTCACGTAAAATTATCGCCAATTCCAGATAGAGCATCATTTAATTCTGTTAAAAATGTAAATAGTAGTGATAATAATGAATGCACACCTACAAAAAGGCGTAAACAATTGAATAATTCTAATTCAGTATTCGAAAAATCACCACCTAGTCATTCTATTCCTGTTCTTACTAAATTAGCAATGATTACTTTATCACCGGGAGCTGCTAAATTTCTATAAGCTTTTCTTTCACACAAGATTTTAACTATATAATTTGTATTGTCTTGTATATAATATATTGTATAATTGTATTATACGGTTAGAATTTATCATTGAACATATCTCTTTTATATCCTGTACATAATTTTATTTACTTTCTCAGATAATTTGCTTTCTGTTAAACTGGTTTTATTACTTCACGATAACACTGTATATGGTAATCTATTCTCTAATTTTCTCAACATATTGTTATCGTGTTAATATTTTATTTTTTGCTTTCCATGTATTGTTTCCAATATATTTTGTTATACATGTATTCGTTACTTGCAAGAAAAATAAAGGGCTTGTAACGTTGCTTATTTCTAGCTAACTGGGACTGTCTCGTGTTTCAGTTAACCAAAAGTACTGATATGTTTTGTAAAATGTAAGACGTTGAAAATTTTAGCATAAGTGACTTTTTCTTTCATCCACAAATAGCATAATTAATTAATTTAATGCTGTTTCTAATGAGCTTATACTTATGAATATTTCGAGGCTTATAAATCGTTGAGCACAACTTAATTTTTTAAGATTCAGCATATAGGTCCGTACAGGAACATAACAATACACCTCTGATGCAGTCGTTTTATTTGATAGCACAGTCCCAGTAACTTATCACTTGATGCTCCTATAAATAACGTTGATCGTATGGAAATGATTAATAAAATATGGATTATATGTAGTATTGTCCCTATTACTCAAATCTCTAATTAAATCTAATCATAAAAGTGTATTCAAAATAGATTACTAGTTCGATAGGTAAAATACACTTATAGTTTGCAAGCGTGTTGAGATTTGTACTGTTTTCTAATTTACCTTGCTCAAGTAACAGAAATAAGACCAAACTTGGCAGTTTTATGTCTAGGACTGGGACAATTCTAACTTACCACCAATTTCAGCATGAGTAATTCTGAATGTTCTGGAAAAATCTGCGACTGTGTTCACTGAACGGCAGTACTGAGAACAACCAAGTAATGACTAGCAGAACATTTGAACTAATTAACTTGCTAAACATAGATTGAATTTTAGTCAGAGATACTGATTAGCTTCAGTGGACGACATGCAGTATTCGTTAAATACTTCGGTCTGTTTAGTTACAAAGATATTATCCGGTTTATTATCAATGACAAATTTAACCTAATTACTTTTAAGGAATTAAATTGAAGCAGGACAGGATCTGTTAGGAACGCAACCTTCGAACATATCCTCACTCGTCTTCCAGTTCGTAATACCATTCGTGATTAACTGAACTTCATTCTTGCATTACATTAGCTTTGGTCGATTAGTTAACTAATTGCTTCTAGCCTATGGCTTTATGCTACTTTCAGTGTTATTTCTGCGTATGGCATGCATATGGAACACTGTACGATATATTGACGGCGAGACTATAAAATATGGACTTAAGATAACAAATCTCTGATTTCGGCGCGAAATCCATTCACACATTTGACTAAATAGCGTTCTGGCATTTCAGCTGATATAAGTTCGTGATAAAAACCCTAGTCTTAATTCCTAACCTTAACCACCAACTACAAATTATAATCTATATTCTTCATTTAGCGCTAGTAAGTTGGTGGGTATCCCCAAGGCCACTTTAGAGTCGCTCAAAGGTCGTTTATAAATTAGTCTAATAGAAAAGTTTGTTTTATTATAGCTACCAGTTAAACTGAAGATATTTTATGTATTTAGAGAGTGTCGCTAGAAAGATCGTTGGTTTATATCCGCACCTAACTACAAAATCTTTATGTAGTGTTCTATTATCTCCTTTCTTAATAATCTGTTTGTTATTGTGAACATTAATGTGTTCGTTGATAACTGCAGAAATATCTGGCAAATACTGTAAACACAAGCAATTGTTTTAATTAGTCTTAACAACTTCAACAGTTAAGTACTTAATTCGGCTACAAGCAGAAAAATGGGTTTCTCATGGTATTAAAAAATTCCCTCATTTTTACCATTCAGAATTTCGGAAATGGATTCCTCTGCATACAATCTCTAATCGCATCCTTTATAAAGTATGCAATTAATTATTGTCTTATGTGTTCACAGCGTTTCCAGTATAATTGCAGTACAGAGTTACCATCCCCAAATATCTTGATGATGAAGTAATTCCACTTCCCATTTCGAAATACTCTTAAATACCTAGGGATTTTTTTTAGCTTATTAGGAAGCTCTACGTATTGCTTTAATGTGAGAGCGAACGCTATTTGAATCTATTTGGTTGCCACGTATATGAAACTGCATCTTCTAGCATAGCACCAATATTTTGTAGATTAGACTCTTACGTTGGGCGTTCGAGGAGTGGTCCATTGAGAATATGAACTACTTTCGGTTGGGTATTAAGATAGTATCTCCTAACAGCAGTGTCCTAATTTTTGGGAGTAACCAATTCACTATTTTCAGTTTGTTTGTAGACTTATTCTCTAAAAGAAATATGAGACATGCCTTACAGCCAGATGTAAAATTGTGATACTAGTTATTTTGCACTTCTCACATGTAACTGAGAACTTTTACCTATGTACACGGGGTCCGCGTGACTATCGTAACCAATGGTTGGAGACTCTTGGTGACATGGCTCAGAATCGATCACAATGGCGTCGGTGTATACACTCCCTGTCTTCCCTTAAACTATGAGATTAAAATCGCTTCATATCTTTCTTTCTACGAACCAATTCTTTCTTCTTGTACTATATCTCTATATGCAATCTTTCTCTTATATATTACCACCTTTTACCTAACCACTGTTATGAATCTGGTGTTCATCTTGTTGTGTTGATGCGGTATGGCAACCTGGACCGATGCACACATGTGCCTGGTCCTACGTTGTAGCTGACTGACTGACTGACCTATGTACACATGGACTTTTATGAATGTTTGACGATCATCTATTTGGTCTAAATACTATAATTTTGGTTCAAGACATTTTTTGACATACATGTACGATATATATATATATATATATATATATATATATATATATATATATATATATATATATATATATACTAAAGATCCATTCATTTCAGTTATCTTTGTTTTGTCAGCCTGATCGCTTGTTTAGAGCACATTATGTGATAAAACTTTGTGCTACAGCATATTTGTTATGGCACATAATGCTAGCGCTTTCTCTAAGGTATTTAATTCACTTAGCCGTACGAAGTTAAATAAAACAGTACCAACAAGCACTGAACAAGCCTATACCAACAGTCTTAGTCCATTTATATATGATAATGAAACGAATACACAAAACTATTAGATATCCCGAAGACATTTTAACATTGAAAGGCACTGATCTACGCGAAAAACATATTGTAGAACGAACCCACAATGTACATTCTGAGTTGAAAAGCGAAAGATGAAATTTTGTTTTGTTTAATTACAGAATACAATAGATAAAGGATAGAAGACAAAAATGCTACGCTTTCATAACACGTTCAAGTTCTGAAACACATTCTCTGACTAAAATCCTAGCAGTGTGAATGTTCTTTTTTAGTCTTTCTGCAGCATTTTTGTTATTGGCGTAGGTTGGTTTAATATCTCGTCCCATTTCTTCAATGACTTGCAATAAATGTGCATATTTATTTAAATCATCCATCGGAGGCATCATAGGATAACTGACTGGAATGCTCGTATTTTGTGTCATCCTAAACGACAAAGAAAACCAACAAGACATAAATCATAAAGTAAAATCTGACTCGTTTTTTGTGTATAGTACGATGAAATTTATTTGACTGACTCCATTCGACATAAGACTGTTAGTGCACATTATACTTTTTTGACGAACAAGCATACTATTCGTGCCATGACATAAAATATATGTATTTGTGATGCGACCAAGAACCACACCACCACCATCTCAGACCAAGTCTCAGAAGCTACCAACGTACGAGGTTGGGTGCCCTGTGTTCGCTCGAGACTACAGAGCAAATCATGGTCCTTGGACCGAAGCACGTGTGGTTGGGAGACTAGGCCAAGTTATGTACGAGGTAAAGGTTGGGAAAGACACGTGGACTCGACACTGGAACCAACTGTAAAAGCGGATAGCACCAGACCACCCATTAACAGGAGTAAATCTTCCCCTTGACATTCTGCTTGATATCTTTAACATATCGGCAGCCCCACCACGAGAAAAAGCTCAGCAACAAGCTGATCTCTGTCCCAGAAGGTGTCGTCTCCGACAGCGGCGAACAATAGTCAGGATGCAAGCCGACCCCAGGAAAGTACGCTATTAAAAAGGGGAGGTGTGTTGGAGACGTTAGATCCTCAGAACTCACTTGGAAAAATAACCTAACAATTTGACTTCAACTATAAATGGGATTCATGTGCTAAGTACGGGTCGCGACAACGCCCTAAATGTCGAGTCATGTCACTCAAAATTTTGAACTTATTATTGTAATTATCACGTAGATTACAAGCAAGTATTTTCCACAGGGTTTATACCAGAAATCAGTGACAGCACAGGCTTACACCAACTCTTAGTTTAGGCACATTTAGCCTTCTTTTTAAATCATCCCTGCTTCACCTGTACTGGCCACCAAAGTAAGGACTCGCTGAACATGAATAACGTCTTAAACACAACAGTTGATGAAAATTTACGGGATGAAGCGGTCTGCCATTTTGGCATATTATCTTGACGGTGTGCTGATGTAGTGAATTATGCAAATGCATAGGTAGTAGGGATCAAAAGGGACGAATAAAATTGGTATACAGAAAATAAACTAATTCTTATGACCAAAGTTTGGAGGAAGACAAAAAGTAAATCTTAGTGAACCTTGTTGTCCGACTCGATAAAGGATTCAAACACTCGGATCTTGAAGACGTGGTTTGGAGTGAGACTCCAGAACAACATGGAATAACTTAACCTATTCGAATAGTTAGCACTAGTGATACAGGCAAGGAAATTCTAGGATTTTAACAACGGGTTGGGTTGTGGATAAGATTAATTTAAGTACTTTCGGGACAACTATAGTCATGTGGGTTACTTACTAAGTAGAGCTTTATGTGTTCGGCTGTCAGTTTTTTGTGAATAGTAGTAATACTATCGGACTACTGATATAAGGAGTGGAACATGGTTCAGACTTCCAACCTAATGATTGAAAGTTGAGTAGTCCAGTCACAACCACTTTCGTAAGGTGTGTGGGTGGTTGTCATATAACTGGAATGGAGACAGGATAAGTAAAGTTCTAGTCGGCCACAGAGCCCAAAGAAAAGTTACTCAAGCAGTTACTCTTGTAACATTGACTCAGAAATTATCAAGTCTTATCACTAGAATTAAAAGTCTATGGAAACGTTGAAGATTTATTTATGCGGCTGCACTAACCCATTATTTTGCTTTGAGGGGGATAAATTACTGGAACTTCGTGGGAAATACAGTTCATATTTGTTAAACGTTGCCTTGTGGGAGCCAGATGGATGTAGTGTATACGAGTAAACAAACCGACAGTATATAAGTCAAAATTAGTGCAAGCCACAACGATCTCTTAAATAGTTAGACTAGATATCAGATCCTCCATTCAAATAGTCAAACTATCCTTGTGAGCACATAGTATAATAACATTTCACAACCCTATTAGAACCACCACAGTAAACATTTGTGATGGGGGAGGAGTGACGTTGAACATACTTCCTCAAAGGAGTAAAAGTTTGGAGCACCAACTAAGACAACACTCCCCGGATTTGACAAAAAACAACCTTAATTGGGACCAATGGGACGTACACTGATTACTAGAGTACATTTTTAACGAGTTAGTTTTAATCAATCAATTTATTTGAATTTAAGTCTTAATGCTGACACACAGTTGAAGATCCTTTGCAACGTCCATTGAGGTTATAACGTCAGTTGATTGAAATCTAGCTACTTAGTTGAAACAACCTAGACAAACAAGGGATGGGAATTAGATGCGAAACTAAGGGGAATTTCTGGAAAGTCCTTATATGTTGGTGTGATTATAAGCGACAATTTGATGTATTGTCGCTTTTACCCCAGCTCAGGTAGATAGTGCGATCCTTCCAAAAAAAACTCCCCATTGGAAGGAAATGCATAGAAATAGAAACGTTAACCCCCAAAGGTCTGTTTTTCACTACAGTTAACGTTACTGACAATAGATGATGAACGAAGTGAACATTAATAGCTGTCTCTATAGTGCCAGGGTTATGTATAAATCAAAATCATGTAGCTATGCTTCTTATGAAAGCGCTAGAAAAGTGATTGAGTGACATTCTTATTAAACATACACGATCTGAAAACAAATAAGATCACGAAAAGTTACTTTGACAAAACGAGGACCAGAAGCAACCTTGATTTAATACTCAGCGCTGTTTCCAATATCCAATAACAATGTCCAAATCTTGCATGAGGTGACGTATTTTTTTCCTTTTATTTTCCACTTTATATGAACGGTTCCAGATATTGTGTAGATTCCCGTGTCTTCATTCATTTATCTGCAACAGTTTCTGTAAATTCAAATGGTGGTTTGCATTCGATATATTTCGAGGAAAAATCATTTATTTTTCAAGCTCATCTAACAGCTGAAGCCAGTTTTTTTCATCTTGGTGAGGATTCGTGAACAAAAAACAACGAAACAAATATTGATAAAAAGCCGAAGTACCAGAAAATGGTTGACTGGTTTACATGAGCTTGTCCTGAACTTTCAGATCATTAGATGTGGGTAAGAATAAGTTATAGAAAATCGGAATAATGTCTAGTCCTGCTGCTTTGCCGTTCTTGATTTGTCTAATGGCCGTGCTGATCTTCTCAATTGTTAGGGTCAACATCGATTCGGAGGTTTGTGTGTTCTGCTTCGATGTTGGGTGGGTTCAGTGGGACCGGTCAAACGATGAGTTCTTTGAAATGCTTTACCCACCTGTTGGTGATTACTTTTTTTTGCTTTTCCCTGGTCGTTTTGGTTAACGATGATTTCCTGCATCACATAGTTGTCTCATGTTTCTTTCTCTTACAGCCCTTTCCACTGTCATTCCTAGAACTTACACATATACACGTTTGTTGGCTCTGATGCTCTCCAGTTATTATCTAAAACATCATGAAAAAAGTAAAATGTCATTCTACTGGTTAAATGACCAAACGATATGATTGAACCAAATGAACAGTTTTCTAAGAAGACATATTCAAGAACGGACAGTTATAACACAAGCCGACTCATAGATTTCCAGTGAAGATGCCACAAGTATTCGGAGTTTGACAACGCTTTAACCAGTAACACATTCTATATGAAGCGTACCCACCAAGTGAAATCTAAAGACAGAAGCGAGGAGGTCTGAAGATATATTTGATGTGCTGTCAATATATCGAGAATCGTCTGATCTATTCTGGCTAGCGACTGCAGGGGTTGTTGAGCACGGCGTTCCCACTTGTGATCTGGTGTGGATGCATGGCCGAGCGCCTTCAGCTAGGTGAGTCCTTTAAAACATCCGGTCAGCATCCAATGTCGAAAACCTACAGAGCTATTTATTTTGGGGATTTATTTACCGCTACGCCATCTTCTAATTGAACTAGCTGTGTTTGAATTATGTCTCGTAACTTATCTACTGTTATACTCATCATATATTACAAACTAATTCTTATCTATCCCGTCATCATCTCACTTCCGTTTTAAGTTCCACACCAAGATCTTCTTGCACTGTTTGTATAACCTGTTAACCAATAGCTTTTTGTTTATATGGTTCTTGAAATAATCGTCTTCTTTTAGCACACGAAATATCAAGTTATTATCTCCACACTACAACCAGCTAACCTGCTGACTGACAGTGTTGTAGCTGCCGATGTCCAGAAACTATACTGTTCTGAGAAGAAAACTCGTCTACTCTAACTAAAAGATAAACAATTCCACAAATAATTACGAGACTGCATAAAATTAATGAATTCGAGTGGCTAGACTAGCACACATTAGATATTACCAAATAGCTGGAGTCATATAGGGTTTACAAGGAGCAAGCGCAAATAAGTCAATCGGTTTATGCGAGTTCGTTACAAAGATGCTGATTTTTGTTTTACTCTGCATCTCTGACGAGCAGCTTTTTAAAAGCGTTGCTAGTGTAAATTACTAGTAACATGTTTCTCTATGAGTCTATGTAATATAGTTTCTAATGTACCAGTAGAGTTCGATTTCCATAAAATGATAAGAAGAGCATCAATATTGCGATGGCAATGACTGAACTACAAGCCAGGTTGTACAATCTTTTTGCATAAATAATTATTTACTAATTACAAAATAATACATTTAGCAGTGATATCCGCCCGAAATCAGCATTGGTGCAGATTATAGAGATCCAGGAGAAAGCAGTCAACCCAACACCTGTGCTTAAACGGCTATCTGAAACCCGAACTGATGAATTTCTATCTGAGCAAAGACTTGTATATATATATTTTTTAATGTTAACATTCATTTAGAGGGAGTTGACAGGATTCGAGGATTTGAGCATGGTTTTCACTTTAGACCTTGAGGTTGATACTGATCGAATGTCGGTAGCAAACTTCGGAACATATTTACCAAACTTGAGACATTTAAGACTATCTAATAGTAATATTCCGTCTGTTCGGTGAGCTTTATGTTCTCATTTAACCATATGTAGAGATCTTGGTACATTTCTCAACAGTGTAGAGGTCATTTGGATGCCTCGCTGTTGTCTTGTTAGCCTTGATGGGTTATCAAGTTTTACAAAACTAGTAGAATTATACATAGCTTTCAATGGAGTATCGGATCTTAGTCCGTGTGCAATGTTGGACAATATCGAAGTAATAGATCTCGAGGGGTAATTTGTTACATCTAATTTAACATAATAAAGCAACCTGATTGAAGATAGAAGCAGTTTGTCATACCTTCGTCTCTGTCACAATCTTACTTCCCTTACTCTTGAAGGAAATCCTTTTGTTTCAAAATATGGTGGGAAAGTGGTAAGTACTATTTCGGTTAATAATGTCTTAGAGGTACAGAAAAGTTGTGAGGGAAGAACTACCACAGATAACCATCCTTGATGACATTCCAATACAGAAAAATCCTGTTTCACATTCAGGGGAATATGATATAACCAAGTTCGACAGTGAATGGGAGTATATAAACATCCTCTTGAAAGAAATTGGTCTGCTATCTGGTAAAGCGGTACGTTAATCATTCCTCATACTTTAAGATCACAAAAGTCACAACACTGACTTTGTCTGGAGAAAGTTAATCTTTGGCTTAAGAATAGGGAGTAAAAATATAAATATTACTTCAAAATACCTTATTGCTTCTCTACGAGACTCTGTTTTGATTATACTCTTGTACGTCTTATACATATGAGGTGAGACAACAAGGTTCTGATGTTTCTGTACTTATTACAAAACTGTATAGTGTACAGTTACTAAATCGTACTCGTGAAAAACATACGCGAAATAAGATATGTTAGTTACAATAATGATTTTTGAACATTATCGTTTAATTTATCAAATTACACGTTTACTTGTGCATCACCAACCATTATTCTAGCTTCTTTCGAGTTTGATAATATATAAGGGCAATAATTTCACTTATTAATTTTTCTCTTTGTACGGTGAATGTATTCTTATCCGAGAGTCCATCTACTGATCCTTTTTATTTGAAAATTTAAGTGAATTATCACTTTTATGCTTCATCATAACTATCATTCCTAAATCAATTTATTTTTTTAATTAATCGAACAAGTAATGCACTTGTTTAGGATTTGTTAGTGCTTTAGTTAGGAGAAAGATGTGTAGGCTTATGTTGATTACATACATGTATTAAATTTTTGAGATTATTAGAATCAACCACCCTTAAAGCCGTAATATGTTTTTGGTCCTAAATTGTCTGTTACATTTTGTTGGAAAAAGTCTTTAAACGTATATCACGTTCAAGTTTTTTTCACTGGATTCTAGAAATAGATTCGCTGAAAAATTAATTTTATACAGATCACAGAAAAGGTTTTCCAGATGTATGTAGTTATTTTCTTTGGATATTGACACTGTGATTCTAACAGTGGTTGGTCGAATTTTATCTGGTTGTTTGGAAGATACGGGAACTGTATTTACCCAAAAGTCTAGTAACATATATAGTCTCTTACAAAAGTAATTAATCACTATACATTTTTTGGTTACTCACAAATGGAGCCATTTTGTTTTCTTAAATTCAAGGTGTAGAAATAGAAGTTTACCTGCTGTTGTTGCTTACAATAGTTAAGTTATTATTTTCATTATTGTCTCTTTTACGAGAACCCAACTACATTCAACAATTTTAAGGAATCGGATTACTACAAAGAGATCAAATAGAATAGTGACATTGCAGTGAACGAGAACACAGGGAGGGCCAACCAAATGTATTTTAGTACAACATTATAGAATATCTTGGGGAAACCTGAGAAACATACAGTAAATACTTTATTTGCAAAATGTCCATCAATTGTCTCAGACTTCATTGTTTCTTTGTTTCTACACCAATCACTTTCTGTTCTCGTTCTCTACTCTTCAATCTTCTTAATCTTCTGCCTCCAGTCATTCCACTTTCGATTGGTGGCACATACTACTTATATCCGTTGACATCAGTAGCACACACTACAACATCACCATACAAAGCTTTCTTTATAACTTCGGAGTAACGAGAACATTAAAAAATGCTGATAATATGCTGTGTACTATAACATTTTCTCATTTCAATGAAGACTAATGAAGCTCGTCTTTATGGAAATCGAAATCGGTTTACCACATTTATTTGAGATTGGTTTAAAAGTAAAATATGATAAAGTTGTAAGGACCTAAGATGTTAGTAGGCTGTATATTGGGCTGGGATTCACAGGTCTAGAATAATTGTGGCCATAATAATTATAATCCGCATCAGAAAAAATATAATTCCGTATATCAAAAACGGAGAAAAACAAATTATGAATCAAGATGTATAAGTATCATATAAATACAGGATCACAATATTGAATGTTTGTCAGTAATAAAAATAAAGGCTTAGGCAGTTTTATGCTCAATCATATCCAATATTATTTATAATTAGAAGTTTCTATAATTTTCCCTGATTTATTGACCATAAAGAATTTGCCATTGTCACAAAATAAAAGATGGGTATTATTAGAAGACTATGTGCTCTTTCTCTCCTGTAGCTTTGTTTTTGAATTTCGGCATTGAAAAAAGATGTTTAGAAGTTGATTTTTAATAAATTATCTTCAGAAAAATATTGTAGACGGAGAAAAGTCAGGATATCCTCTGGTCACTGGAGAGGCAATAGAAGCGGGCCGTTCAACTTTAGGCCTAAGACCAACATCGGCATTGAAGCAGAAGTATCAAAAAAACACTATACAGTTTACCGAACCTAAGGATGGTCACAACACTCTGAAGCTTTCTAGAAGTTCGTCTGTAATGATGGATAAGGAAGGTGAGTGCGACATTCGTTTATAATTTTTTATGATGATATATTACAATTTGGTGCTTATAAACATGCCAATTTGTTTCAGCAATAATACTTTTTAATTCTCACTTCCTGAGTCGGCAATTTATGAGCTCATAAACATATGTTTGCAATATTTTAAAAAGCGATTGAAATATACGATGACATTCAATCTAACGACTTTTGATTTAAACAAAGACGGCTTATTAGGTTAAAAGCGTTTTCTTAGCTAAAATTAAATATATTTATAATTTCTTTATTTTTCCTTTAGTTAACTCGGATGAAGAAGAACTTGTTTCTGAGCTTACAACGGGCAAAGTTATATGTGGAGGTATTAGTACAGCACTGCGTCGTCGAAGATTTTCACTCCAGACAGGTAAGATTGAAAAAATACAATCAGCTTGTCTGAGATTAGAAAGTGAAAGTGTAACTAGTTCAGCCTTGGACAAGAGTTATATATGCAGCTTGGAAGCAGGAAATACAACTCAGAATGAACCTAGTGGCCAACAGACCAACAATATCAAAACAGTTTCGGATCATGAAACAATTACGAATGAAGAATTTAATTTACGTAAGGAATGTGATATCGTTTTGAAAGAACTTGCCGAATGGAGAAAACTACACTCAGAGTAAGGGTATTAATTATGGCTAAGTGATTAAATATTTATTGAGTAGAGCTGTTAACGCTGGTGTCACTGACTCTATTTCAGTTTGTAGCAGAACAACTATTATAAAACCATTGTAAAAACTGTTGGAAAACACATGGATCAGTAATATGATTGTGAACTAGATTCTCCTGTGGTTTAACTAAAAAAACATATATATGTACATGCACATATAAATATACGATTAAAATTGTTTAACGAATCATAGTAAGTTTACAGGTGCAGAAGTATCCCGATTAGTAACAATAAGAATACAAATCTGAGTATGTCAGTCAGGATTTATGCAAGTTTTATTCGACCAAGTTAGTGATTAACTCTGCTCAGTATCGCAGTTGTTAGTGTTTTGGTTCTGAGGAGTAAGGTAATAGATTTGATTTTCGGTGTGAACATCAGTATAGAAGTGCTGGTATATTCAACTAGTGAGCCTCAGATAAAACGACATACGGATCCTAGATTCTACTGCTAGCGACACACCAACTATGTTATAAATGGATGTTGCTTGCTTAAAGCATTTTAATTCTTCATATATGTAAGACGTGAGTACAAACGTATGATTTCTCCCATACTGTTCAAACTATAAAGATAAATTCCAAATAATGACGGGAATTCAGGGTGCTAAAAATAGAATGCTATTTCCTTTTACATTGTTTTAGTATTCATAATCGGTTGGTTAAATAGCAGCAAACGAATGACTTACATTATAAAGAACATAGTTATGGGCAGTTTTTTGAGTTTGTAGAGTATCAACGTGCATATATCGTCTTTATGCAATATGTGGGGAATTAAAGGTCGAGGCGTTTGGTAGTCAATAAATAAGCTGGAAAGCGCTACATACCCTGTAATAGCCACAAGTTAGTTTCAATGCTGTCCAGGGTCTGACTTTCTATGTAACGTATCATAAGTGATATTACAGACTGTCTAATCGAAGAGTGTTGGTAAGTGCATGCTAATTGATTGGGAACATTGTGCAAAATAGCTTAAAATCAAATAAATGTATTCATTTTTACCCCCATCTCGTAGATCCTGAGCTTTGAGATTACTTTATAATTTCTATCCTGCAAATTTGTTCTTTCGTATCAAACCATACTGTGTACGCTTAATCTTTAGTACTATTACTGATACTGTTAACACTTCTATTCTAGTGTTTGTTCCGATGACTCCATCTCATCGTAGTTAAAGGGTGTAGCAGCTTGTACTGGTTTACATGTGTGACAGATCCTAAGTTACTTATGACATATATATATTGTTCATTTTTTATAGCTTTGACGTTATCGATTACAAGTATTTGTCATTTAGGTGATAATGAAAATTACATTCCAGTCTTCAATTTCTAGTGAAATGAAGTCAAATACTGAATAATCTATATATTTGATCTCAATGTTTGTGTCCTTAAATAGAAGCACAAATGATAACTTTGTAAAATCTCAGAAAACTATATAAGAGCAAATTTTAACCACTAATTATCAAAATCGTACTTAGTCTTATTTCTATGGGGTTTCCTATGGGGTTTTTGGAGTCATTGTATGTCAGTTTTTAGTAAAATCACCTACTCTAGTATCCGTATATACTCCGAGAAATCTTGTGTAATAACCATTACAAAATACTCATACTATTGGCAAGGTCCTTTAATAATATGTTGTTTTGAAGCACTAAGAAATCCAGTCTGTTACCAAAGTTAAATAAAAAAAAGCAACCGATATTCTTTTCCTGGACGTTTAAAATACTTTTGTGTAAGATTCTAGGTTGTTGGAGTTTTGTTTATCTGTGGTTTAATTCTATTATCTGTTACTCTAGCCAGGTAAATCCTGGTTTATTTCATGATTTTTCTGTGCTCATTCTTTTTTACATGTACATGATTCTTAACTGAAAACGTCTAAGTTGGCTCGTAGGGTGTAAAAGCGCAATTTTTAATTTGGGAAAAAGATAGATATTTTGTCACTATATCTACCATTAGCTCGAACAGTGGTATCTGAATATGTCAATACTTCCATGTTCGGTGTGAATTCGACTACTAACAGCGAATATGTGTAGACAAGATATATGTACAAGGACTATCGAGTTATTTTAAAAAATGGTTGTGAATCCTACAAGGTCTAGTCAACTGACTAATTAAAATTCCAACAATCAAAATATGTATATTTACTATCAACAGTTAAAAGCCAGTTTTACCCAGGAGTTTATCTTATTGAAACTAGACATTTGTGTGTGCTAAGCACTAAGTATACAAAATGATTTCAAAAGTTTCTAATAGTCATAAGCATAACCCTGTCTTATCATCATGTAAAAAGTACGTTGAAGATTTTCAATTACATGATTTCAAAGAACTTGTTTGTGTAGTGTCATCTACAATTTTGGTTAAGTAAATATTTATTTTTGTGAACAACATATTTCATTTGTTCACTTCACCGGTTGCTTTGAAATCTTTCTTACTAGTACACATATTTTATCATTAAATGAATAGGGGTAATCAGATAAAAGTTAGTGTTATAAGTTAACATTTTACTAATGTATACAATATGTAATTTGCAAGAAACTAATAAGGATAAACAAAGATTTCAACCATTTAGGCACAATATGTTAATGAAGTTGATATTTAATTTCCATTTATCAAGCTCATTTGTAGCATATTTCTTAGATAAGTACTAGAAAATACACGACACATAGCTAGTAGTCTTATTTGAAAAAAGGGGTTTCTATTCACAAATTTTTATTTTACATCTACTAACATATGCATATACTGTATAATATGAGTTCATTAGTTTCCAGTTTTCTCATTATTTCCTAGATCAAAACTACTTAACTCATGTAAAAATACAAAGAGAAGAAAGAACAAAATTACAAAAGCAGATTTGGAATGTCATACAGTCATTTTATCACCTGACAATGATGAAAATACACCAGATAATCATAAAGATTTACAAAAGGAGTGCACTGAAGATGTTTTCACATCAATTAAAACATTAAAAAATTGTAATGAAAAACCATATACAACACATAAAAAGAAGCTTGCAAATTCGAATGAAAATCAAAATCATAAAAATACTGGACCGTTTAAAATGTCAAACGAAATCGACAAAAGTCAAATTAAAATTAAACAAGTAAGTTTAACCAATACTACTTTCTAACAATGCAATGTTAGTAATTTCTTCATTGTTCAATAATGTGTTAGATTTAGACAGTAGTTTACGTCACCAAATTATATTGCTTAGATGAACAATGGAAATTTAGCTGTATTGAACGGCTGTTTTGTTCTTATTTAAGTCTGTTCAACAGTGCTCATTCATTACCTTTATCTGCATTCACAGTTCATATGTTTGATAACGAATTATTTCGTCCTAGTATGGGACTCCTCAGCATTGCACATCCACGATCCTGCAACCCGCGAGATTCGAACCCAGGACCTATCAGTCTCGCACCAAGCTCTTAATTAACTAGACCACTGAGCCGGCATTATCTACTCACTAGTGACTGACTTCAAGAGATACTACTGGAGATCTAGTGAGAAGCCGTTACCAGTGGAGTTCAACCAGGTCGGTTGTGAGATATCAACTCACTGAAGACAATGGTATACGGTGGTGCAACTTAGTGGATTGATTGGTTGAAGTTAGACATTAACACCATTGGATCCCGGCTCAGTGGTCTAGTTGGTTAAGCGCTCGAAACGAATTATTTATTTATTTATTAATTATTATTATTATTATTATTATTATTATTATTATTATTATTATTATTATTATTATTATTATTATTATTATTCGAATATACTAGAAATTACTTCGTCGTTTAAAATTCAAATACCTAACAAACCAATTATCTACTAACTATTTGTAAGTAGTGTGAAAAAATGTGTGAAATATTTAACTCAGTTAATTTATTGTTTACCGTTAATCAATTCCCAAGTGTTATAAATACTAGAATAGAGTGATACCAATCATCATTTAAATTATACTCTGAACTTAAAGTTCATTTAAAATAAAATTGTTTTTGTTTTGTTTAGTCTATCTAGGTACACATTTTAATACTTCATCAGATAAAATTATAGAAATTTATCTATAATGAATGATACAATATTTTCAAGGTCATTTATAAGATCGTACCATAACATTCGATTATTCTAGATATTTTACACCTTAATAAATGTTTTTACGTTTTTTTTTAATAATAATAAAAAGCACATCGTTTATTCATATCGTGTTGCAAAAAGTCATCAGTTTAGGTTTATACTTTTAACTTATGTTAGTTGGTACAATATACATATATATATAATACAGATTAATTAGTAGAGCTTAGTCGATGCTAAAAAACTATCATTGACTTAACTACTAAACCGTTATAGGAACAATTTAAATAAATGATGCCTAATATTAACTCATCGATGTGTTTTTCTTTAGAATGCAAAGTATTAAAACAATAAAGCATAAGCGTTTTAGTACCATAATAAATATCTGAAGTATGTAAGTTAGTCAATCTGTACTAGAAGAGCTCCATAGTTAAGTGTTTGTTCAATTATAACGCCTCGATACTTTAACTTAAACTTCTAAATAGTAAAAATTTCTCCATAACTCATGGTATCCTTAAATAATAAGTGCTAACTGATGAAAATCGTGGATGTAGGTGTTCTTACTGATCTCTTTAAAACATAAAACATAATATTTCATATTATCTATAACCAAAGGAAGAATGATAGTTGAACTGATTACTTGGTGACTGATAACAAATCTTAAACGTTTAAGAAATTTTTATCAATTATTTCTCCTTCCTAAACATATTCAGACAATTTTATGAAAATATAATTCACTACAAGTGTGGTGTGAGCTACTTATATTGGTATAAGCAGTATATAACGTGCGTTAAAAGAACGTAATGTCCGGCAGCAGAAGATGGAGAAGATCGACAAAGGTAGAGCGAGAACACAATGAAATTTGTAAGAAAACGCATGTACAATGGAATGGGAGACAATGGATTAGTGTTTGCAACGGAAACAGTCTAGTTTGATATAATGCGTTGATATTTTGCAAATTGACGATTGACTTTATGGTATTCAGATTTTATTGAGATAGTCTGTAATTTTTATGCTGAATACGTCCGTTTGTCTCCACCCGTGTTCTCGTTCACCACACTAGTAGTGATGACTTTCTTTATGCTTTTAATAACGGTATTATTCAGTACCATAGATTTTGTTACAGTAAAAATTGTCAGCACTGACTGTACAATATTACAAAGATCATCACTTCAGTATTTATTTAAATAGTAAATATTTAAAACATATTTTTAATAGTCAGTATCTGGTAAATGTAATCCGTTGTCAAGGTATTCTACTAGTTCATTCAACATATATACATACGTGTTGTGACTTTAAGTTGGGCCGATTTTTACCCTGTGCTAATTGTTGTGTCCTTGACTGAAAAAAAATCTAGAGAACAGCGTATTTATCGATCGATTCAATGACACGTAAACACGTACGAACGTAATGGACGACCTAGAGTCCCGATTGGCTCCACTTCCCTGTCTATCCCAGCCAGTTGAGTCCAGAACACAAATCTCAGCCTCTGAGTTATGAATCATTGTATTTCAGATATACTCTATTTATATACTAACCAAACATATCACATCGTACCATAAAAATAGAAAACAACATTTTGTACCATATTCAACAAGTGAACAGATATCGACCAGTAGGAAATGTCCATTTAAAGTCCAAGGACACCATTGGACTTAACATGATAATTATTGGTCTCTCCTTCGCATCCACAACAATACGATGTTTGACTTTCATTATATTTGTCTTTCATTTATTCATTTGATAGATAAATACAAAAATATACTAAGAACTGAAGTGTTTCTGTTTACATTTTCCAGTATTTAATATCATAACTTTTAAGCCTTTTATAGTAAAGTATGAACACATACAGTTAGCATTCATAAAAATTTGTTTAAAAATATATAACACATAGGTTAATTCCAATATTTATATATTTAGAAATTAGATTGTGAGGTTATCCATCTCTTTTTTCACTGTTCAATAAATGTGAGTAGTCCAAGATTTTTTTGGTAACCTCCCGTTTATTTATTGACTGATTACTACGTATAAGCATGTGATATTCACTGGATATACCATTCTCAACATGTGAAATTATACACATCTGTTTGTTATGAATACATCAATATAGATCATCTCAACAAACCGGATAAAAACATACATATAATAAGAGAACTTATTTAGACGAATGATTTATTCCATTCCGAAAAGAGATTATCATGAATAGATAGCTAGGTTGTTATTGAAAACTAAATGATTTATGAAAGTTATTTAATTCTAAATATATTCGCTTAGCGTTACACATTCACAAATTCACACATAACGATCTAGAAACTTTCAAACTTTTTAAAAACCATGATAATTTATATCAAGATCCTATGATCCTTTTTATTCTGACTTCAATCAATAAAGTGTGGTGTGAGCTACTTATATTGATATAAGTAGTATATAACGTGCGTTAAAAGTACGTAATGTCTGGCAGCAGAAGATGGCGAAGATCAAGAAAGTTAGAGCGAGAACACAATGGAATTTGTAAGAAAATGCATGGACAATGGAATGGTGTTTGCAACAGAAACAGTCCAGTTTGGTTTTGATGCATGAATATTTTGCAAATTGACGATTTATTATACGGTATTCAGATTTTGTTCAGATAGACTGTAATTGTTGTGTTAAATACATCTGTTTGTCCCCACCCGTGTTCTTGTTCACTACAAAAGTACTTATCATTCAATACTATTGGTGATAACTATCTTATATCCCATACAGTTTACTTCATTAGTTATAGATTCTTACCAGATGGTCGGACATCTATCCTTAAGTTATTATGATAAACTTGTTTTCTATCGATATCTTTCATAAACATCAAATCTATACTAAAGAGAATACTTTCAGGCATTTATTTTATTAACAGTAAGTAAACAAACAATAAAATGATTTTCATTGAAGTTTAATACATTTACTCAATGTACCTACGTACATACGTACGAAGTTCTACGTTGTTCTGACTAACTGACTGATATATTTTAATAAGAATAAAACTAGTATATTTACTTCTTATTGTTTTTTCCAAAAAAATATTTTACAATTTTAAAATGAGTAAAGATACTACTTATTTATTGAGAATAATTATTAATTTGTATAGACTAAAAAAAAAAAAGAGAAAATGATTTCTACATTTTATACAACTATCATAGTAACACATTAAATCTAATTCATTTTCTAACATCACTATTCCATTTTAAGATTGATAATAAATTATAAAGGATAAAATGTATAGGACTCTTTCATAATTATAATCATACAAAGTTCATTAGCTTCTAATGATTTTTATATATTACAAATGGTATTTCTAATAGAATCATTCTATATACTATTAAGATTTATAATAGTTTTTTTTTCATACATAACTAATTGGTATGTTATTGTAAATGATTAGTACAGAATCAATGAAAATCTACTAAGATCTGTATAGTTTATTAAGTTATTAACAATAGTTTCTTTTTAGTTGCTATGTAAGAGGATTCGAATCGTTAAATTTATATACCAGTTCCTAAAGTGTTTGAAACGAAATATTTTGTGTTTAGGATGCTTAAGTATATTCAACTTGTTAAAACATTATTCAGAAGCTATTTATACTAATAATAATCACTTCTTAACTAGGCGACTAGCTTCGATGAGTTCTAGTGAGAAACTATGACCACTAGAGTTCAACTCTGTCGGGTTTGAGGCAGTTATCTACCAACATTAATAATTATGTTTGAGCAATGTCTCAAATTGAAGTCAGACATATTAAGCATTAAGATTAGGTGGTGGTTGGAGGTAGTCGATAGGAAACCCTAAACCCGGGTTTCGTGTTAATTGGCACTCGTCAGCAAGGTGTACCTGTCGGTCGCGGCCCGGATAGCTCAGTGGTAATGTCTCTGATTGTGAAGCTGCGTGACACGGGATCGAATCCGCCAGGGAGCACCAGTTCCCTGAAGATTACAGGTACACCTTGCTGATGAGTGCCAATTAGCACGAAACCCGGGTCCAGGGTTTTCTGTCGACTACCTCCAACCA